ACTGTAAGGTCAGTTGTTCTTAGCGCACGCACAGCACATATTTATCGACCCATTCACGCAGAGATCAATGGGGTCAGCAAGAAAAGAATAAAACATGTAGGTTCTGTATAAATAAATGTGGATTAAAATGTGCTTCCTACTTCCATTTGTGAAACACTGCATTGCAGAGGCAGCTGGCTGTTTGTGGCAGGTCCAGATAAGAGCCTCTGGAGCCTCATGTTTGTCAGTGATAGAGGCTGGGTACACAACTGTCTAGGAGTAAGCAGACATGACATACATCTTCCTGCCTTTGGCTACTCAAACATTGCACGGGTTATTGCCTCTGCTACGCACCAGCAGCACACAGCTAAAGCACGTTTCACAATGATCATGGGCCCTTCCTTTCTTTCTGCCACTGTACTATGTTCCTGGGAAATGATTTCAAAGTCCAATGTTCAATATTGACTCAATATTGCTGCGTTACTTGTGTGCCAAGTCTTTTACAGACAGCATACGCTATTTTAAAGGAAATGGCACGCATCACCTCACCCCCAACAAACAAAGATTCAGGTCACACATGCAGCATGAGAAGACTTGGAAAGCGTGTCATGTCACTGTGACATAAACAAAGAAGTTAATCATACCCATGAACGCCTGTTGTGTTTTTACATACTGAAGAAGAAAAACAAAAACAAAAAAACACAGGCAGTCTGATTGGTAATAAAAAACATTTAAGATTCACCAACATCCAAATTAAAAACATAACTCCCTCCTTGCTTGAACGATAAGATTTTATCACAACTAACAATATATAGCACTCAAGGATTTGTCTGTGTCCTTTACTTTTGTGTATTGCCAATATAAACAGAGGTAAGATGATAACTTGCATGACTTGGCCTTTTTCACAGACATTTTGTAACCCTAACAAAACACTCCTCCAAATCTCTGACTTGGATTACTTTGTATTTCAAAACATATCACAAAGCAAGTGCTGTTGTTGACCGATCTTTCTGGGCAGATGAGATCACAACTCTGAAAAGGTGATTTAACTGAAGGCCGCGAGACGCCAACTACCCACTCAGGTTTGTTTAGCTGATTAAATTAAATTTTTACTAGAATTGTTGAATTGAGTACAGTATGAATAAAGGCCACCAAGTCAGTAAACTAAAATAGAGTTTTCCCTATTGTACATATGCAGGGGTTTTTAACTAAAAACTTGGTGATGTAAGAAATCACTGCAAATGAGAAAGTTTATCTGGCAGCAGGACCCAAACCTACACGACATCACATCATCCCACGGCCACCAACACAATGCTCCAAACACATGCAAAATTTATACTTCTTTTGTGTCTCATTAAATGTCTCTTAGGCTACGTTCACACTGCAGGTGAAAACGCATCAAATCTGACTTTTTTGACCCTATGCGATCCATATCCGATCATCAGCACAAATCCGATATTTTCAAATCCGACCTGGGTCACTTTTGTATGCGGTACTGAATCCGATACATAGCTGGTGTTTTAGAAAGCGACTGCTGTTTGAATGGTCATGTCGCATGAAATCCGTCTTTTACGTCACTGACACAAGACAGACGCCAATTATCAGCGCCCAAGAAGACATCGTGAACGCTTCCTGGCCATCCAGTGTAGATGTCAGTGAAACTGTTGGGAAGACAATGTTGGAGAAACGTGAACATTTTATTTGTACTGTATAATCTGCAGATTCTGACAGAAATCTGCAACTATCCTTTGAAGCACTACTCCTCTCTAAAACAGCAATAAGGATAATTATTAGGCCATATGTAAATAACAAAATAACTTTATAACTTAAAGCAAAATTGGGAAACGTAAAGTCCGAAACAAGTCTTTATATTAAGGGCCATCAGTCAAACAATACTTTTTGCTCTGGGTCTAAACAGAGTGTGACGTCTTCTTTTGCGCATGCGGGCCGCTTTGAGGGTTCACACTAGAGCGTGTTTGCTGTCACATTTTATTTGTAGTGTGAACAAGCAGACAAAAAAAAAAAATCGGATTTGATCAAAAAATCGGAACTGAGCATTAAGACCTGCAGTGTGAAGGTAGTCTTACAGTATATAAACCTGTTAGGTGAGTTAAGCTTTAACCTCATTACTTAAACTACAATATGGTAGGTATTTGCAAAGCAAAAGTATAGCTGCTTTGACAGGGAAATTGTTTAACTTCTGTTTTAAGAATTGCATCATGAATTACACTTTGCCACGTAAAGTTATCTTTTCTCTTAATCCTTTATAAGCAATGACTAAAAGCAATTCGAAATGCTGAAAGTAAGATTTTAAAAAAACAAAGTTGAACACAAGCTGATTAGTTCTTTCCTGAAAAGAAATTAACTTGTGGTTGCAGGAGTTTGGCAGATCACAAATATTGAAAATGCCTTCAAGGTGAGGATCTGAAGGCAAACTATAGGGAAGCTGTGTCTATACTAGAGAATAAAAGTACCTTTGATAAAGTGTAGACCTCATACAGCTTCAAGTGAACTAAAAGCTTTCTATTCTGTGGCTTTACACTCCATAATGCCACTGAGTTGATAAACTTCAACTCTCTGTCATGATGAAAGTGAAAGGAGACCCTTTTTGACCAGAATGCTGCCTGACAGAATCCATGGTTGAACTTCTTCTTTCTGTTGTGAAATATCCCAGCTATGACATGGTGATAAAGCATTGATGAAAATATGTTTAAGCAGACTTGCTTTGTTGCTGGCTACAGAAACAGCTTCTCATCTGCTTCCAATTACATTTGCGTCTGTTGACGCTGATTGTACAACATAAAATGATTCCCCATGATGTAAGTGTTTTGTATTCTTTTCTTATATATGAGTGTATACAGTATATGAACTTGTGGAGTTCTGATCTTGCTCCTCAGTTACATTCACGTGTTCTCCTTTTGTTCTACTTGACCATTTTAGAGCACCCTGTATCTGATTTTCGCTTTTGTACAAGTACGTAAAAACAAACTTTGTTCAGACATCTTGCTAAAGAAAAGATTCTCCTCGAAATTAATGAACGTTTCAGCTGGCACAGAAATTACATTCAGTGTCTGATGTAACACAGATAAGCAGGTTTGTTCTGAACTATGAACGTGACATTTTCAGGTATTTTACTGGACGCGGGGTCCTGCCTAAGAGTCAATAGTTAATAAGCCAAATATTTGGACATTTCTCCATGGCCTTATGAATTGTATCCAGTTTGAGAACACAAAAGAACTGGCCATAGAAAGTTAAAGTGATTACTTAACACAATATCCACCAATTCATTGGCAGAGCTAGGAGTCCAGGACTTCCTTTGTAAACTAAAAATACCCTGGCCAGGCAAACTTAATGATATCCAGAGCTGAGTTGAAAGTTCGTGTCCTGTTAAAAAATGATAGTGTCTCACTTAAAGCTTAAATTGGGGGACGGTATTCTGACAATACCATCCCCCAATTTTTCTTGACGACTGTTTTGTTTTGAAGTTTAGCTATGTGGCTGCCATTAGCATGCTAGCCCCAAACTTGAACTCACCTGTCCAAATTCTGCTGCATGCCAACTGCGTTCTGTTCCGCCATTGTCGTAGAGGCCAAAAAGGTTCAGACGCTGTCTTCTTGGCGGAAAGTAATTGCGTTACAGGTAAAACATTCGAAATTTAGTTCTCGTTAATTTGTTGCAGCTAAACTCGACGTAGAAAAACCCCCACAAAAAAACAAAAAACACCTGCTAGCAAGTTAGCTGTTGAACTAATGCTAACAAGCTACATAGGCCTTCGTCGAGATGCAGTGCAACACCCGCAAACGAACCGGTATTTTTTTTAATCAAAAAAATATTCCTCCTTCTCTGCCGCAGTCTACGTAACACTTATATGCGTTCGATAGGCTATTTCGGGCAAAATTCTTCTTTACATCTGCCACGGCCTCGTTTGGCGTGACCGTTTGACTCCATTGACAGGCTGTCTCTGAGGTAACGCAGACACCACGTCAGTGCGCATCTACGTAATCAAAACAAAGCAAGCGCCGCAAAGTCGAGCATGGGAAATGTAGTTTCACAATGTCTCGCTCTCTCTCTCCTCTCGCTTTCTTTATCTCTTCGCCGAATGCCCAAATAAAAGCTCTGAATCATCTCCAGAGTTGCCAAGAAAGACTATTAGAGGTGTATAGCCATTACTAGTACGCACTGCGAATGTAGTTATTCCCGTTCGCACATGCGTGTACTCGAGTGTGAACCACGACAAATGCAATAATGTGACAAATACGGTCCAATAATCTCAGAGAGGAAACCTTATCCATAATGTGATTGCGTGAGAACTGATTATACATATTTAGAAGACAATCTGTGAATGTGAGAACATATTTTTAAAATATAATGTTTTTCTATCCTTTGTGCTCGTTTGTTTTCCTATAATGTGCCTGTTTAAAAAAAAGTATACAGTATAAGTTACACTAAATTCAATGGAACTGACAGACAGAAAGACAGACACCTTTGCTTACCGGCCACTTTATCGTTTGAAACTACAACTCCCAGCAGGCTACTCGCCAGCGTCCATGCGCCGCAGTCAATCAGCTGTTCAAGCAACTGCTGACTACCTCGGCACAAGGGTAGCTCGTTTGTCATATCTAAACCCAGACGAGGCAAACAAGAAATATCTTTATTTACAGAGTCCCCAAAAGGTGAACGATAAAGGTAAATTCAAACTTCATGTTAGGCAAAGAGAAAACCAGGCTGTGTGTGCATGCTGTTTTGTCGTTTTTGTGGAGGGAGGGGGAGCATGTGGATTATACAGAGGGATTTCAAGACAAGACAGCTTGATGAAATGTATATCGGGTGCCTCGATCAGCGCGATAAACAGGCAGCTGAAGGGTCAGGTTTTGCCTTGTGTGTGTGGTAAAGAGCCGGTGAGGTGAGCCACTGTACAGCCTGCTGATTGTGCTTCTTTGATGACCTTGGAATCGGGAGATCCTGGAGGAGAAAACACGGATTAACTGGTGGGGTGGGTGAGAGTGTATGTGTAACGAATGCTGTTGTGATTAAACATGAAATTCTTACTTGTGTTGCTGTCATTATAGCACTGAAATGATCTGTTATGTCAGTCTAGAGACTACTATTGAAAGGCCTGTGTGTAGGTTGTATGTTAGCTCTCTGGAGACAGTTTCCGATCAACAGACCAGATGAGTCTGACAATGATTTGACACCAAAGTGTCATATCTCATAGTTGTGCCTTTTGCTCCAGCTGGCAGAATATATACTCAGCTGCTTAATTTCGTTTCCCTGATCAGAGTATCTTGCTGTGTTTGACATTTCTGCTTGCCCTGCCTGCTCATTGTTGAGATTACCAGGCGTGTTTGGCACCTAATGTAATTCTAAATGTAAATTTGCTGACGGGATAATAGTGCAGGTCGTGTATGTTAATTGGGCTTTTCCAAGGCGTTGTCTCCAAATGCAAACAGGGGATGATTTTGCATGAAAGGTAAAGCCTCTTACTTTAGACAGAGTAGACTTTCAGTTAAATTCCAGCCCTAGTTTAAAAGTTACTGACTGCAAATGCAAGGTACATATTGTACTATGTAAATGCCAACCCGTGGCTGTGTCAATGCGGACCTCGGGCAGAGTCTCTCTTTGCGCTCTATTAAATCCCTTCTAGGAGTCTAAAGCAGAAGCTATTATTTCTTTATGATCGAATTTGCTCAGTAAACTTCGTCGTCTTTATTAAATTATTGTATATCCACTTTGTTTTTTATTCTAGGGACATTTTATTTTTTATAACAACCGATTCAATTGGTTCAGGTGCGTCACCTAATTTCTGATGCGTAAAAAAGACCGTGTGCGTCTCTTTGGATGTTATTTAAAAATAAATTAAAAATAAAAACCCTCTGTGATCGTGTGTGTGTAGGTCAAGGTAGAAGTGGCTTTAACCTTGCTGAAGGACAGCTGTATTTACTGACGTATGTAAATGAATATAGGGGAGGTCCTTGGGCAAAAACACGCACACAGGCACACACACTGAATCAGTTTCACGTTGCAGCTCCGGAGTTCCTGTGTGGAAGGGAAAAACGAGACGTGGCGAAATCTGGTGAATATCTGCTGCCATACTATGCTCCGTGTATAATTTGCGGGATTTCTGAATCATTCTGGTCTTGGGAAGTGGGGCTTTTTCCTCGTCTTCTTCTCCTTCTCCTTCTTTTCGTCTAAATGGGTGATCACGCATTCGCTTTGCAGCTGGCTGGTCCCTCTAACATCATATCCTTCTCGGAGTTGTCCCAGTTCATCAGATTCTACAGAAGCCCGGCAAGCCCGGTGCATGAGCTCCTGAGTTACAACAATAATAATAATAACTCCTCGTATCTTTTTCCCCCTGTTGCAGCTCAGCAAACCATGCAGGATGATTTACTGATGGACAAAAACAAAGCCCAGCCTCACCATCAGCAAGATCCGACACAAGCAGACCCTCCTCCCTCCACACCGACCCCGTCATCGGAGCCCGCTTCTTCTTCATCCGAGTCGGAGAGTCCGTCGACCGGGAACAACCAAGCGGCTTCAGCGCTGAGCAGCGGCAGCAAGGACAAAGCGCCGATGGAGTCGCCGATCCTACCCGGCTTGAGCTTCCACCACCAGCCGCAGGAGACCGGCGGCCCCCTTTCCTCCCCTCCGTCATCGTTTGGGAGCACTTGGTCCACTGGAACCACAAATGCCGTGGACGATAGCTTTTTCCAGGGAATACCCTCGGTGAACGGGACGATGCTTTTCCAGAACTTCCCCCACCACGTCAACCCGGTATTCGGGGGTAATTTCTCTCCGCAGATCGGTCTGGCTCCCCAGTCGCAACAGCATCAGCAGCAAGCCCAGCAGCAGCAGCAGCCCCAGCAGAGGAGATCCCCCGTCAGCCCCAACCAAGGGCCGTTCCCACAGAGAAACGCTTATCAGACCATCATGAATAACAGCAAGGGGACCTCGTCGTCATCTTCTCCTTCGTCGTCCGCTTGGAATAATCACCAAAACGCGGCGTGGAGCACAGCCTCGAACCCCTGGAGCGGGCTGCAGCCAGGCAGGGACCCACGCAGAGCGGTGGGTGTCGGGGTAGGGGTCGGGGTTGGAGTTGGTGTCGGAGTGCCGTCACCCCTGAACCCAATCTCCCCAATGAAAAAGCCCTATAGCAGCAATGTTATAGCACCCCCAAAATTCCCACGACCCGGTCCACTCGGCCCCAAACCCTGGATGGAGGACGGCGCATTCAGGACTGACAACAGCAACAGCATACTGCCTTTCCAGGTAAACACTTCCCCTGGTGTAAGAGAAGGCCCAGTATAGGCCCAGGCTTTATGTTTCAGTCTGATTGCTCTCCCTGGCACTATAAGTGCCATGTGAGGGTCTATTTATATATATATAAATATATGTCTATGTAAATAAGCCACCAGTGCCTGAGATAGAACTACAGAAAAGTTAGATCACCCTGAGCTCAGCAGCACCACGAAGTCCTTACAGGTCTATTTATCAGCGTACGGTGAATGTTTTTTAGTTATTCAAATTACTTCCCCACATGCATCATAAACGTGGTCAAATGTCTGTGGGTTTTGTTGTTGTTGTTGTTGTTGTTGGTTTTAAAAAAAACTGACTCCCATATCAATTTCAATGTTTACGTTAAATGCGGACAGTTTCTAAGCAGCGACTTAATGCGGTTTACTTGAAAGTCGGGTTTTGCCGGTAGCTGTCAGCGTTATGTGGCTTGTATGTGCCGGGAGATTGTGTTTGTTTAGGTCAATTCACAGTCAAATACAACAGTGACCTTTAAGTATTAATCACGGATTGTTTATGCAGTCGAAAAGAAACATGCCAAATCAGTGCTAGAAATAGACACGATTCATTGGACTTAATAGTTAATTTTCCTGCGCCAGCTCACGCTCAGTGGGGTTTAAAGGACCCACGATGCATTCAAGTGCTCCTTGTTACCCTCCATATTCTCATATTTACGGCAGCGCTATAGACTTTCAGTGCGGCGGGGTCGTGTCCGCTTGATCACTGAATAAGTAACATGTTGTGTTTAAGTCAGTAAATAATATGTCGTAACTAATGCTGGCAACTGAAGGCTGCATTATGTTTGAGAAAATATGTATCAGTACCGTCTTCGTTATCATGTAAGCTTTCGTCATTATTGCAAACATTTTTCACAGTACTTGAAAGTAACATACAAGGATTTGATTGGCCTGTGATGGAAAAGTAGGCGGTATCAAAATGACTCACAGGTCCAACCCGGAAGATAGCAAGAGTGTTATTCAGGGTCAAAAAATCCGCACGGGCGGGGCGGGGTAAACAAATGAATTAGTTCTTATGTTAAGACAGAAAACTGTCAGTAATTGTTATTTTAAAAAGTCCAAATACAACGTACTACTACTACTTGAGGCTGTAGATTAATACCACCAGCATCAGCCACAGTAACGGTAACAGATAAACGGGTAAAGGTATCAGGGGCATAAACACCCACATAAAGACTGTATATCTGGCTTTAAAGTGAAATGTTCCGCACTGGCATGTTAGCAGTGTTATTTCCCGTCGCTTGGCCCATACTTAAGATTGTATGTGTGAAAACTAGAGAGCAGGGTCTCTTTGAGCCGTCCTTCATTAACTTGTCTGTTGGAAGACGAGACATTGCCAAATACTGCATTACCTTCTCAAATGGGTAATCACGTGTCTGCCTTGTTTGTTCTTTTCCAAGTAAGCCAACTTAAAATGTGATCAGATATTGTCTGTAAGGACCCTACAGCTCCCAGGCCTCTGGTAGAGGACCCGAGCTTGAAGGACCCAAGCTCAATTTGTGTATATATATTACATTGTTTTGGCTTAAGCTGCATCATTATAACTGTAACTGGACTCACTGTGCATATTTCCCAGTCATCCAATTTCTATATTACACTTCTATGATTCACATCTTTCATAAAATGTGGAATATTTGGAGATTCTCACAGACTGTACACAAGAGTTAGCTTAACAGGAGGTCTATACATCCTCAATCACGTAACCAATTTGTACTGAAGCTGTTTAAAATAAACAAAAAACACCTACCTGGTTAGGTTTAACATACGATCATGGTTTGGATAGGAGACAGTTTCAGTAATGTTAACCATGTATTATAAAACCTGCAAACTCCTGTATGTAAATACCAGAGCAATTAATACAGTGTGACAACTATGCCGGCGTTTGCACACTTGTATAAATTGTGTGTCTGGTAATGATGCAGATGGTGCACGCTAAGGAGTCGTGAAACATTAATTCATTACACCCTAGTTTTTAAATCCAGGCAAGGATATTAAACACGGGAAAAGACAGATAAACGCCGGAAACTACTGGTACTACAGTCCGGCCTGTGATCAAATAAATGACATGCCTAATTATGAGCAGCAAACATTTATTTGGTCTCTGTTATAGGGTTACAAAAGATTTGAAATTTTACTCAAGTTGCAACTTGGCAATAAGCTCAAAGACACAAAGTCGTGAGTCATGAGTATTTGCACATTATGACCGCTTATTTCAGATAAGTAGCCGCAGATGCATGTGACCTGAGTGGTACATGCAGATGAACAGCGAGGACAGATGAAATGTGACTCGACACGGGGTGAAATTCCAGCCGGCTTGAAATGTATAGGCCTTTCAGGAGATAGTGATTGTGTTTGTCAGTCCGACTCTTTAGGCTTTTTTACTCGGTTCCCTTGACCGAGAGCCTCTGCCCGAGCTTTCTTGACTTGGCTGGATTACAGCTGGACTTATCACCAGGAGACAAGGTCAGGGGGCCACATGTCACGCTGTATGGAGTGGTCTGTTTACTGAAGTGAAACTCAGGCAGACCGCAGAGATGAAGTACAGCAGCCTTGTGCTTTCATGTGGTGCCAGATGAATAATTAGGGTAGTGACTTATATACAGTCAGCTGATTCTCGTTCGTTTTTTGTTATATTATGTATTGTGATATCTGGTCATTATGATCAAGGTTTCTCTTCAGGAAACAAAACAAAAAATGTTTACAACTCACAGCTCCTGTGGCAGTGACTTTTATTGCACCAGTAATGTTGTTGTTTTTAAGCTATTTTAAGAATTTCTTAGTCAGACAGGCTCATTGCTCTTTCGTGTGTTTTGTTCACACTTAGCTGTTTGGCAATAACGTCATAATTGGAGAGGAGTTATCACCAGGATGCAAGGTCAGAATGCCACATGTCGACTGGCCTGTTTACCGAAGTGAAACTCAGGGAAATTGCTGCATGAGCAGCAGGCAGGGTACACACCCTGTGGTAACCACGCGGACAGCTGGTGACAGGTGTGCTTGCTGTCATAGTTTAGCTCTCCCTCGGTATTACTCACATGCTCCCGATGTAGCGCAGGCTGAAGGTTCAGTCACGTGTGCGCCTGACACTGGCTGCTGCTCGGAAGGCAGAAGAATGTGTGGAATTCACTTTAATATGTCAGTGTGAACCCTGACACACACATTCACATGATCTTCCAGGGCGATACCCTGGCCTTCTGTGATTGTAATCACATACAGATTCAGAAGGGTGTTAGTAGACAGATGGACAGGTGGACTCTTGTATTCAAATGCATCTAAAAAGGTATAGCTGGCATGGAGTTTTCCTTTTTTTAAATTTTTTATTTATTATTATTTTTTCCCCCCATGGCAGCTTGAGCCAGATAAAAGGTTCATGCCGTTTGTTAACTGACAACTCCAAGGCCTCCACCCTAGGAACTTTCCTCCGAGATTAAGAACCTTTAAAGCAACTTTGTGCTTCGACCAAAAGGACTAGGGTCTAAATTTCTGGGGGAAATCAAAGTATCTTCTCAAAACTTCATTCTTTTGAGTAATCAAACATTTTGATAGATCGGTATTTGCTTGATTTTATTTTATTCTGTCTTAAATTCAACAATCAAATCAAAAGAATTGTAGAACAAACCGCACAACAGATTAATTTATGATGGGGTATAGCTGTGCGCACACATGGCATGTAAAAACAAGTGTTCCCTTTTCATATGCTAGGCAGACTTGTGAAAGAATGGCTCATCCTAAAAGACTCATCGAATTTTGAGCAGCATGGTGTAATAGGATGCCATGACTGCAACAAGTCAGTTCTTGATATTTCTTCCCTGCTTGACATTCTGTGATCGTCTGTAAGTGGTGTTATTGTAAAGTGGAAGCATTTAGGAACCACAGCAGCTCAGCCACGAAGTGTCTGACCACGTAAAGTTACAGAGTGGGGTCACCGAGTGCTGCGGCGCACAGTGCATTAAAGTCGCCAACGCTCTGCTGACTCAATAACTGCAGAGCTCCAAACCACCCCTGTCAATAACATCAGCACAAAAACTGCACTGGGAGCTTCATGGTATTGGTTTCCACAGCCAAGCAGCTCCTACAGGTGTAATGTGTACACTTCACTTTAGTTTTGTCTATTATAGTGCGTGTGTGTGTGTATACTTGTATACAGTATATTTACAGTGTACCAAGTATATATACACAGTAAAGTTTTGCTGAAAAGGGGGAATATTTGAGTCATTGTTTAACTTTCCAGTAGTGTATTGCATAAACTAGAAAGCTGCTTATCATGATGACATCATGACTCAGCAGATCCACTTGCATAAATGTGATGCTACTCTGCTGCATGTGCTGCAGACATTTAGTTCATGAATTTATTATGCCTATGTAAAATATGTTGCTCAGTGAAAAGCACATATTGAATTTAATCATTCTCAATTCAGTATTAGGAAGGCTCATTATAATGCTGTTCAAGAGAAACAGGAGCCTGTAATTTAATCATAACGATTATGCTCTCTTGTTACCTTTGGGACTTTTCTCATCGATCGCTTTCTTGCGCTATAGAGAAGACGTTGTGAAGGTCACAATAATGCATAACTTATAAAAAATATATTAATGGTAAATCTGCCAGCCCTCTACCTTATGAGCACCCTTCATTTATTACAAACAGATAGTCATGCTTGGCTTTTTTCTTATCTTGATCTCCCCGATAACTGCTCTTGTGTCTTATGTGTGGATCACAAGGAAAGATGAGCTGCAGCATAGTCAAGCTAGATGAAGTCGGCCCTGCATTCCACGCTCTGGGAACTCGCATAAAGAGTTCAAGAATGAGCTCTGTCTGCGATTTATAGTGCATAATATCTCACTGTTGCGAGTTCTCCGACCTGTTACCCATCACCGCGTCCATCTATATGTGTCAGAAAGGAGGGGTGGGAGAGGAAACTAAAAGCTCAGCGTTTTAAGTGTTTACGGTTTGTACCAAGTGGGCAGATTTTTATCTGTGTGGCGCTGTCAGGTCCAGAGTGAGGGGAATAACACTTTTGAATGCTCAGCCGAATGGGCAACAATAGCTGTGGTGTGCAAACAATGTAGGCCCAGCTCAGGCGGCGGACACAGGACACAGCTGCCAAGGCCGCGCCACTCTAGCTCCGGTTGGGCGCTTTCAGGCCTTACCTTTGGCACACATGTTGTTCTCATGAATTCATTCACACCTAACAGGAATACATGCACTTCATCGGCAGGGAGCTGTTTAACCTTGAGGTGTCTGATATAGTACTAATCTGACTGTTTGGGATGTAGTAGAACGACCTGCCTTACAAGATCTGAAAGTTTGAGAGGTTTCGTGAACAGTCAGGCAGAAATGCATACCAAAGGACACACAAACAAAAGTTCTCAGTACCTCATGACAGCTGCAGCATCTAACTTTAACTATTGAGGGAGGTTTCAAAACCAGTTTTCTCAAGTGAAGCTGAGTTCCTGTCTGATTGACTTGACGAGAAGGGACAGCTTTTATAACCTTTACATAATAATCTGGGGTTCAGTTTTAGACTGTTTTAAATCCTTGTATGCTTGATTTATTATTTAGATTTATTGGCTTCATTAGCTTCATAAACAGAGAAACAACTTCACAGTTCTTCAGTATATGGTATCCAAAAAAGTGTCACTCTTGTATGAAAGTGAAAGGTTGAAAGTTGGATCTTATCCCAGCACCAGGTCTGAATCTGTTCACGGATGATCCTGTTTGTTGAATCAAGAGCTGAGTCAAGCGTTGACTGATTTCCTAATTGGTTGTGAAAGTGAAAAAGACTAGAAGATGTGCATGTGTCACCTTGTGCAAACAAGCAATAGACTATTAAAATGAAGGAACATCTCAACAACACAATAGTGACATTTTATTTTTTTACACTGGAAACCATAGGCTGAAAACAGTAAATGTGAAATACTAAAATGCTTTCAGGATAGCCCAGCAACTGACTCATAGATCATTGCTTAGTATCACCTGTTTACTGGCATCTCCAGGGCCTACTTCACCTACTTAAGTTCAAGTCTGGATCCCTTATTTCCATTAGTCCTGTGACTCAGAAGACACGCTGCATTTGAATGGGGAAAGCAAGAATGTTCTTTCTTTTTAACACACAAAAAAGGGAGTTGCCGACAGATGCAAGTCGTTGCTAGCGATCTGCCCTTGAGCAGGGTACCTAACCAGAAATTCAACAGCTAAACATGCCAGTTAAAGTTTGCCACGTTTTGAAGAAGGTAAAGCAGATCACCACTGGAATGCAGGGCTGTTCCCACAATGATGACGAGGCAAAAATAGAAACCTATCGTCCCTCTTCTCTGTGTGTGTGTGTGTGTGTGTGTGTATAGATAGATAGATAGATAGATAGATAGATAGATAGATAGATAGATATAGTTATATATATATATTTTTTATTTTATTTCAAGTTTTATTCTAAATAACTATCTGCAAGATCTAAATCTTCTCTACATTTTTAAAAATTGTCACCTCAAATCATAGTTTTTTGTTTTGTTCTTTTTTTCAGGTTTATAATTTTACTGTCTTATCATTTTCAAATGTGTGTTAAACAGGTAGTAGAGTACCGGTTCTACTCCCATTGTAGCATTACAGGATACTTTCCCATCTTTGTTTTGCGTGCGATCTACTGTGATGACTCTAATGCGAACGCTCTTCCTGTTTTGCTGTGTTGCAGGACCGGAATCGGCCCTTTGATGCTTTTAGCTTGCACTCTTTGGAGAATTCCTTAATGGATATGATAAGGACTGACCATGACAAAGGTAAACCACACCCTGCCGGTGGCCCACCAATGACTATCGCTGATATTATATGGAGGAATCATTTTGCAGGTTAGGAATATTCATACGTCCATGCTTGCAGTTTTTAGGTTGCTTAATTTTTTTTTTTAATTTTAATTTTTGCGCTTGGGCATATGTCATCTCTGGATACATCTGTTTTTCATTTGCTCTATTTGCCGATCTCTTAACCAATCCAGTATGAATCATTACACTCTGTTTAAAATTAAAGTGAATCTGAATCATTATGAACCTTACCTGCAAAACCTCACATATGTTTTGTGTGTCTGTGTCTGTGTCTGTGTGTGCACTCTAAACCAGAGGTGAACCTAGTGGTCTTTTGTACAAATGTTTTGTTGTTTTCTTTTACTTCCTCTTGTTGTCTTTGTTGCCTCCTGTATATGGTGATAACAATCAATGGATAAAGAGATAATGTCACAAGACTCGTATTTTGTTTGGTAAACGTGTTGCGCAATTGAGTGTATTTGTGGTTAATGTTTTATTTGCCTGTAATTTTGGACTTACATGTGTCATAGATGAAATAGAGACATAGCATATCAGATGATTTGAAACACAACACAAAGATGAATTTAGACTAACATGTATTTTTAAAAAAATACAATTGCATTTCTCAAAAGTGTTGTCAGATTGTGAAATCAAGGTTAAAAATTCCTCTTCGTAGAATTCTTGGGCCGTGTGGTGTAGGTCAGGTCTTCTGAGTCAATATTTTTGTAGCACCAGTCACGTGTCAATTGTAAAAACTCCTGTTTCCCAGATGGGGCCCTGTCAGGTTGGGTGTAGTTTTTTTTATACCCTCTCTGTCCTCCTATCTTAACAATGGAAAGGTTGGTGGGAGGGGTACATAATGAGCGGAGAATGTCATTTTCCCATGCATAAAGTCTGTTTTCCTAATCTTGTGCTGAGCGAGCATTGTTGCGCGCTCATCACATCCCCGGCTTAACTTTACTGGAAAGGTGTCGTAATGTCCTGCAGGGCTTCTCTTGGGATTGTTTGTGAAAGCACAACGGACACGTAGGAGATATGAGCAAAGTAGGGCGGGTGGATCGTGAAAATGGGTGTGTGTGTGTTCCTGATTCTCTCCTGGCTTGTTTACCCCTCACTTTGTCATGCAGACAGCACGGGGCTGTAGTAAACTGCGGTGCCAACCACAGAGCAGCTCCACCCTGCTAGCGTACCTTCTCACTGTTTGAAAAGGGCCCTGTGCCCCGGCCCTGTCTGCTGAATAATCTGTTGCTGGTGCTTTTTTTTTTTTTTTCTGGCTCAGAAGGTATTTTAACTCTAATTATCTGACCCGTGTAATCCTAGATTGAAATCTTCCTGACAATGCTGAATTAGTATTGAAGTAACACTAATACAACCACATTATGTAAAGAAACCTTTTTGCAATATAATGTGTTGATAATTCAGGGCCATTTAGTTGTGTAAATCTTTCAGTTGTGACATTTTCAAAAGTAATTCATTAAGAAATTCTGCGTCTGTGGTCATGTGCAGCATTTGTTGCAAGCAGAAGTGTAAGGGCCAGAGGGAACAGGGTAAGAGGCAGGATTTCCCAAATGGGTTGACGAGCAAAATTCCAGTAATTGAAGAAATGTTGCAAAAATGTAAGTTTGGCTCATAATTTTGAAAGCATCACTTGGTACTTGCTCCAAATATGGGGTCATGTTCAGGTTAGCGTGACAAGTTGACAGATTGCAGTTTTGCTTTTCCTCTGTTTAAAAACCTCATGTTAGCTGATTTTCTGTTTTTGTTCTGTTTTTTGTTTGGTTTTGACTGGTTGGTTGCAAGAAAATGTATCTAGCCCAGAAATATCATTTTTAGTTAACAATGAAGTTGTAACGAAATTTTCTAAATTTTGCTACAACTTTAAGATTTTGCATATCTTTTCTGGACACCAGCCAACAAAGATGTACTCATGTCAGACATTAGCTAGTTGTTAACTTCTCGGCTCACTTGTTAAAATCTGCATGTAATACTTTCTGTTTGGTTAGCTTGCAGAGTTTGGCTAATCTTACCAGTGTTAGCAGCAATAGTCTTGGTTTATTTCGTGTCAGCACAAAATATGTTTACACAGTTGCTTGGTTTTATTCCAATTTATTCTGACAAAGCTAACCTACACAATGTTTGTGCAATGTTTCATTCAGATTGGCCTACCTGTTAAGGAGGAAATGGGGAAATACATTTAACAGACTACTCTTCTGCCACTGACTATTAAGGGCAGCAACATTTAAACATGTAGTAGACTAGTCCTGTAGATCCTTATTGGCAAGTGGGCAAAATGTGGGCTGCCTTCCATGGCTGAAACCATACTGAATATTTTAAATACCAAACTTGGTTGTTTTCTGCTGAGTGCAATATGTGATCAAGAATAACATTGACAAAATACCCCAACTTGACATTACCAGAAATTAAAAGCAGCTTGTGCCTTGATTAAGGCTACCTAGAAAATTAGCCATGTAGGTAGAAGATCCTAACCCTGACTGTTCAGATCTGATTGGTTGATCATTTGTGAGTGGAGGAAGAAATTTTCATTTTTATATGTAACTTTCTAAATTTGTGAAAGTTTGTGTGTTTGTGCGCTGTAAATGGTGCAGTTGCTTTTTTTTTTTCTTTTTTTCTTTTTTCTTTTTAAGTTTTATTAGTGTGTGGATTAAGATCATCTTTCACATTTGGGTAGTGCCAGGCTAGCATGAATGGCAATAGGAACAGGAGGTTTTGTTCCAGAGGCACTGAGGCCTGACCTGTCGAACCTGATCAAACTTTCTGACACTCAGAACGAGAGTATCTCTGAAAAACTAGAAAAAAATATCCACAACAACATTGTCATTACTTAAGAATCCACATATCTGATCAGTAAATCTTAACTGAATGTACACTTATTGTTGTTTCACAGGCAAGTTACTGCTGTAGCGACTCCAACATCTTACTTTAGGGAGACTCTTCACCAGCTGAAAGCCACCAGTCAAAACAAATTAACCCAGTAGGCTCAGTTTTGCATTCCCAACCGAATGGGTACCGCCCACATCAATCCCATCAAAGACATTTCTCACATAGTTCTCATTGTGCCTGGAATAGCTGTTTTTCCTTGAGTGTTTTATGAGTCCCTGCGCCTTCTTCTCTTTCTTAAGAAGAAAAAGTACTCAGTATTGTGATGTGTGAATCAGTGAGGTGTGAGGTGACCTCATCCACACACCCTTTAAAGACAGGGGTGGGACCACCTCATTTTGTTTCTTCTGAGCTCTTGTTTTGAGAAGTTTCTGCTTCAAAGACACGCTCCATTACAGTCAATGTTTTAAACTTTCTAAAAGCTCTTTACTCCTGGTTGAGGGGAGCAGGGCCACAGGGACATCTGAACAAACGAACCCTTTTTGCAGACACACACACACACAGGTCAGCTGAGCTCATGTGTGGAGGACTAAAGACTCACACAAACACACACACATGTGCTGGAAAAACACCACCACTCTGACAACAACCACTACCTCTGCTGCCAGTGGTAGCATTTGATGCACACATGCACACACACGTGCATGCACACACGAAGGAAACACACTTTCAAATTCTTGCTGACATGTAAATCAGCTCTGGCATTCCATGCAAAGCACTCTCACCTCATATACTCTTCTGTTGAGCTGTCACTTATTCCTGTCTATGGATCAGACAGCTCAAGAGGTGTGATGGTGTGACTGCAGCCACTCCTTAAAAACACACACAGACACACACTTCTAGATGTTGTCACTAATGAGTTGAGATGCTCGAAAGTCCTTATAACCCTTGTGGAAGCGCTGTGTAGATCCCACCCCACCCACAATGTGTCTCTCTTAATGCACACGCACACACATTGCCTCAGCTGGTCTGAATCACACGATCTTGCATCAGTTACAATTTGCATCAGTTTCAGTGTGTGAGAGCAGCCTTTAGAAGACTGGAAATAGTTTATTTTCATAACGAGGTACTATTTCAGTTGTGTATTTAAAGGGTTGGTTCAGCATTTGCTAAATGTGCTGGCTTTATTCACCTCTGAGACTTCAATAAGAAGATAGGCTCTGCTATCGAAACAGCTGCTGTAGTTTGCTCTAGTTTAGCATTAGGGTTACAAATCTATCACCTTATGACGGGGGAGAACTGTTCAGAATCCCAAATTTGTGGTGTTTCTATAGTTTTGAAGAGTTTAAAAAAAAATACTTATATTTATGAAAACATAAAACCGTGCTTTCTGATTTCTCAAAAACAACCCTCAAAAAAGCCCCTGACCTCTGCCCTGGTACAAAAAACTGAAGAGGGCCATCTCTGAAAGGTCAGTTTCTGAGGTTTGTTGAGTTGTTTTGATTTAATAAATGGTAGCGAACATAACTTAGATGTATCTTTAGGTGCTTGAAGTTAGACTAAACTGCGTTCAAAGGAAAGATCCCTATGGGGGCATGCATTACAAGCAAACACAGACAGTGACTGTGGGGTGGGTGGGGGTAAAAGTATCACATTGTAGGTTTAGCATTATTTCCACAGAGTTTAAGATAAGCTAGCTCTGGGATTATGCTACATTACAGCTACAATTTTTGCCAATAACTATAAGGTCCTGGGTGAATGTGATTTCACTGCTTAAGGTTAACTCTGATGCCCCTAATAGTTTGGTTTTCTTCATCCTCGGAAGGCTAATGCTATCGATACCACAATTAATAAAAAAAAATTGCTTTTGCATTGTTGTAGGCATTTAAAGCATCGTGTCTAAGCCCAGTCTTGCAGTTGCAATAGCTGTAAAGAGCATAGACCATAAGGTTGTTCATGCATACCGATAAAATGATAAGATTAGTCAGTTTTTGTGTTTATTGTGTTCTTGTTTTGTTTGAACTCTATTGAATAGCCGATACAATGTACGTTCTGGGTCCATTTCGGCACTCTTTGTTGCCATATCCTGAACAGATCCCCCTTATTATACGTGTGTAGTTTGGCTTGGAATAGAAGAGGCAGGAGATCAGTCACTACCCCTGTAGTTAGTCACTTACATTAGTTAGACGGAGAGGCGGGTGATCCTGGGCTACGTTAGGAAGGTCCAGTCTGTGTCACCATTTTCACCCCTGATGAGTCTGGGCTTTGGAAACGTAAAAACTACCAGCTATATTATCAGGTAATTGTGATTTTTGCAGAGAGTGGGAGGTGGGGTTACGTGTTGCTACAGTATGTTTGGATCTTCTTAGACTATTTAAATGATCAGCTAATTCGCACATTTGAAATGTTTTCTTGAGCATTTGTCCTAAAGAAAAAACTAGTTTAGACTGCGAGCAGTTTGCCACTGAGGTTTTATAGACAGTTTTGTGTTTTAGTACTGTCTATGTTATGATGGTTGATTGATTATAAACCGGATAGTAAACAATCACTGGAACGATGTTCAGTCAACATCGCTGTGTCAACTTTAACTTCACTGAATCAACGTTGAACCCTAATGCTGGTCCTTCATTATTTTGGCACCATTTCGTTGAAATCTTGACTTAAGACTTAGTCAAGTGGAGAAAGTAATCGAGGGATAGCAAACACTAGTGCTGTTTGACTTTGTGGGCTGTGTAATGGAAAACACAAAGTGGAAACATAATACAAATGAGATGACTAACAATCTAATTGTGCACTTCTTCACTTAACTGAAGAAAAGCAGGAGACCCACCCACCCTTTCTCCTACTTTTCTTGAAAGCCTCTAAAGGTTGAGCCTAAATGTTGGACTTTGTTTCCTATATAAGGGGGAAATTTACTTTGAAGGACCCCAGGAAAGATAAAAGTTTGTTCTTACTTAATATCACACTGGTATGAAACAGTCATGTATGAGAATCTTCCTTTGGTTCGGGTTTGGAGAGGGGTTGAACCAAATTAACCCAAGGTTAAAGGTCTTTGCTTTGTTGGGCAACTGTTTGTTCTGACCCCTTAAACTTTCAACCCTTCGTAACACACCAGATGATTTCAACTTAAAAGGCACAACCCTGTACTTTAAACAGACAGTGATGACTCTATAGAGATAAGATGATGTATTTATTGGTTGTGTTAAAGGTTAGATCACACCTTGCTTCCAATAAATTGCACTGTCAGAGTGTTATGTATGTTGTGGTGGAAAATTCATGACTCCAGCAAGCATGACTGAGCTAATCCTGCCTAGGCAACAAAACAAGCCTGGGCTTGTTTAGTTTATTAAAATCATGGTTTGCCCAGATCTCACAAACTATGAAATGGTGTTGAAAGCTTTAATTCCTCAGACAAGTAGAGCATCACAGTTAACTGGATTCTGGAAATCCTCTGTTATTGCTGGAAAGGTATATCATGGTTTTATGGCTATTAATTTTATGAGACATTAATGACAGTGGGGAGCAGTTTTGACTCACTGGGTTTAACCACTAGAAACACGTTCTCACTATTTTCTTTTTGAACATTATGGCGTGATAGTTAAAGGAACTTTGGCCCTGTTGCAATCATCTTGTGGATTGTTAGTGTCAGCTCGAGCTGGTGTGAAGGGGAAGAAGTAGGTTATTCTGACAGAGACACAAAATAACTCTGACTAGGTTTTCTAAGAAAAACATCCACTCCTCTCGTCTTTTGAGTCATCTGTTAAGTCAATGCATTTTTTCCCCTTTTCCCCCAAAGTGTTTTACTCCCTTTTTAGTACTGGTAATTGTATTTTTTTGGCATTAGTCAGCAAGAAGTGTAGATTTGGAGCACCCTCCTGCTAAGTAAATGTCTTGGCAACTGGGGGAAAAACATATCTCTTACACACAGTTAAAGATGTGCTATAAGGTAGACGAACAAGCAAAACATTAGCAAAGCAGTTGACATGTGAGACATGTGGTGATGAGCCACGTGGACTCTAGTGAAAACTTGCAGAACAGGATTCTTGTAGTTTCAGCAATGATAGCTGTTACTTTACTGTTAACCAAAATTTTCTAGGTTTCTCACCGACTTTAAACACGATGGCTCTGCTTAGGCAGAGATGCCATATACTCAATTGATGCCAACTTGCTTTTTGCTGATCTATCCACAGCCCACTCTTTATCCATTTCTACCTAAGTGGTCGATGTGAGGTAATTTTCCATTTTGGGGATCAGGTCAGGCGAGGGAATTGGAGGTGCTTTTGGAGCCGTGCCTAATGTAGTGGATCTCTCCCGAGCGGCTGGGAGAGACGGATCGAGAATAGCTCTCTGTGAGGAAATGTCACCAGAACAGCAGTGGCAGCAGCAGCAACTCAGGGGCCCCTCTGGCCCTGCCACTCTTCTCCTAGGGGAAACAGATGGCACCTGCCCAGAGTTATTTTAAGGCTTCAGAAGGGTAACTGTACCCCCATGTCACCCAAAATGACTAATCTCGGCAGAAAGGCAAGAGCCCTCAGGACCTGTTGCAACATTTGCCCTCCAATCAGCAACATTTTATTGTTTCTGTATTCTGTGTGTGTGTGTGTGCGCGCGCGCTCTAGTCTCCAGTATCTAGTGTGTATTTTTTGATCTTCTTGGCAGTATTACTAGGTTAAAGTGCACGGCCTGCTAGAAAGTAGAACTGGATCCTCTCAAGCACACTTTAGTCAGTGAGACATTTGGGTTTAAACCCTGTAATTTGGTCGAAGAACTAACAAATAGACCACCCACACGTTTACCGATACATGATTCTGTGCAGCTATCCCTTGGGGCTGTTGAACTTTGATGACAGCCTGACTTGACTGTGGGTAGGGAGATAGAGAACGTAGTGGATGATCAGAGAACTTTGTCAAGAGTTGGAAAACAAAAACACCCCCCACTGTAGGGACACATACTAGTTTTTTTAGTGTTTACCTCTTCATGATCATTGGTTACTGACACTTGAATGTGAATGCACTGGCTTTGTTTGTCTCCAAGCTCCTAATGTCTGCTGGATTCTGACTGGGTTTGAGGAGTTTGGAAATGCACATCTGTGAAGCTACAGGGTGGCCTCCCCCTTATCCTTCCCTCCAGCCTGCCTCTCTGGTTTTCAACCAGGTCTATCTGCGTCTTCCACTCTTCTTCACGAGCCAGGAAAAGTCCCCCCTCGCTGTCCCCAGTATCTGTCTTTTGTGGGCACATTTTGAAACATTTAAGAGACTGGCTATGGTGTAAGCAAGTCAAAGTTCACTTAACCTATAGGGACATAGTTGTTCCCTTCAACCCCAGCACTTTGCAAATTGTCGCTGAAGTGACTGAAATAACACTTTGCATAGGTGAACAATAAAGGACCAAAAGGGTATTTTCTTAATATTAATGTGTGAAATGTAAGTTTGTGAATATGTTGCTTTATTTTTCCCTTTTTCTTTAGTTGTTGCTAAAATATAGAGCTGATATTTTTGAGTTTCTGTGACTGTCACTGTGAATGACATTGGCTGTGTTATTTAAAATGGGTAGGTTCTTTAGGCAGTGCATTTTGTCGTTTGTTTTTTGTACAAGAAGGGCGCTAACCAGGAAGTCTTTCATTTAGACACCTTACTTCCAAGAAAGCAAAGATAGATGGTTCTTGTAACATGCGCACACTGTAACCATAGCAGCTTTGATGAATTCTTAGCCTTGTAGCTGGTTTTGTTTGCTCGAGCATGTGTGCATATGAGATATGTGACAACAAAAGGATGTGTGTCTCAACCTCGTTTTCCCGCATCTGTTGTCTGTGTTTGTCTTTTATGCCATTCTACCAAGTTGTGTAAATGTGTCTGCTGTTTGTGTCATGCTCATCCTGGCTGGCATTTTCCGATTGCACACAGTACAGTGGAAGATCAAAATGAATGTCTGTCGACAGGCTGACTTTTTATCAGCAAATTCCACGTTTTCCCTTCTTTGTAAAAAGTGTGCTTTTTTTTTCTTTGGCAGGACGTATGGGCCTCAACTTTCATCATCCTGGGGCGGACCACATAATGTCATTGAACAGTAAGTCACATTTTCATTGTAGGGGCTGATCATTATTGCTCAAGATAAATGTCACCATTGCTTGTCTGTCCTCTGTGTTCAAAAATAACCAACAGTGGGAGGCACGCTGTTTGATACCTCCATGTTAAACATATGACCTCGCCACAGGGGCCACTGACAGTATGAGCTGGGTACACCTGCCCACCCTCTACGAAGCCCTGGATTCCCTGACACCATAAACCTAAGACAAACCTTTTAACACTGTAGGAAGTGCTATTTACTAACCACTCAAAACAGATCCAAAAATACCCCGAAAGGCTAGATTCAGTGTCCCAACAGATGGCAGATGACCCAACAGTGACGGGAGATGAGACAGTGAGGAAAATCAACTCTTTATCTCATATGCAGCTACTTGAATACCACAGAATTTTTCAGCCGAGGTCTTTCCTTCTAAATGGTCTTTGTTTGATGGGATCTGGGATGAGATTTCCTGGATTATTAAAGATATATTTCTTTATCATTATCATTAGTATCTATTTTTTTTTTTTTCATTTTTGGGTACAAACCTCAGTAAAAAAAATAAAAATACAGGATCTCTCTCATGACTGGTAATCAGAACAAATCCGAGAAGCCTTGGTTTCCTCTCTGGATATTTTCAGTCAGCCTACAGGGTGAAGAAATGGGCAAAGGCAGAAGGAAATTTCTCAGCTAAGCAGTTTTTACTGTCGCATCTTGACAACGCCGATGCTCCTTCCCCATTTTCTTCTTCTCATCATCTCTATTCTCGGAGAACATGCCTCGGATTGATGTTAAACTGTTGTGTCATGGGATAACGCTCAGGCGAGCACAGATCTGTCCATATCTTCCTCGTCTGTCAGAGCTGACTCCGCAGCCTGTGATCGGTGTAGACAGGGGAAGCTTTGGTTTCAACTTTGAGAGTTTCACTCTGTGTTTCTCCTTCATTTCATCCCATTAGCTTTGAGGCTTCAGGCTGTAAAAACCTGCAAGGGTTCTGCTTTCTGCAGATGGCGTTGGAACTTGAAGTGAAAAACAAAAGATGGGAAAGTGATGACTGTAGGTCCTCCTTCCGGATTTATTGGTGTTGTTCACTTGACAGCTTAGCAGAAGTGTCTCTGAGGCTTTTGAAGCAGAGTAGAGAAGGACGCATCAAACTCATCATGCCCAGAGGAAACAAAGAGTTTCCTGTCAAGCATTTGCTCTCTCTCTCTCTCAGATACCACACAGTTTGAAGTTTGTACGTATTCTTAACCCCTCACTCTTCTCCTTCCTCCTCTCCCTCCTTGGCTGTATTCTCTCTGAGAGGCATCTGACGGTTTCCCAGCACAACGTTTTTTTTTCATTTTGCCCTGGTTGCTAGGTGACTTTGTTTCTGCCAAGGCCAGACGGTGAGAGGGCAAAGCTGTAGAGACACTGCCCAGGTTTTTTGGATTGGTGAGCCAGATCTTTTCTTAATGAAAACATAGCGAGGAAGAAGAGGCTCAGAGACAATATATACTCCCTGAGAGGAGCCAGAGGGGAAAGTCGCATAATGGGGCTCTCACAATGCAAAGGCCCATATTGGTTTTTGAGGTCTCCTTTGTGACTGATGAGTTTAGAGGGGCAGGAGGGTGTCCTGCTGTTTGTTGGCATTTGCACCGCATTTTGCCTACTTTGTGCTTTGTGGCTTCAGTTTGGATCACAGCGAGATTGAAAGCTAAATTGTTTGTGGGAACTTTTCAGAGATTAAGTCCTGAAATGATATTTTTTTTCTTGCATTTAAAACTTATGAAGCATATGAAGCATGAAAGTTAATTTTTGGCCTCAGATACAGTATTATAAGTCAGTGGCTCTCCTCCCTTAGATCTACTCGGTAGCTTTATTGTCACTGTGTCTCAGCATCTTTATCTTCAGTATGGCCAGTATGTAAACTACAGACTTGTATGGTGAATGAAAATCAAACACAGCAGGTTGTAGACTTAGAAGCAACACTGTTAAGTGGCATTTGTACCAATGCCAAAATTTTTTCACATTTTCAAATGTCTGACAACATATAATAGAAAATGCTACAAATGTCTACAAACTCAACCACAGAACACACGTAAAGACAACGACTGTTTCATTAAAGGTTAGTTAGTTCCACATTTAATAGGTTTGGTTGATGGAGACATTATCACATGACCTCTGATCAGTAAAGAATTTTAAAATGGTTAGAAGTAGGACAGAAGATGCCAATTTTGTTACCGTCTTGGTGTTTTAAAACTCTATGTGACGAACGACGGGTGGCTGTGAAATCAAAGACTGAAAACACTCACAGGCTGACCATTTGTGATTGACATTAGTGAGTGAACATGTCCTGAATACCCCTCCCTTCTGACTCTAATAATGAATTTATTCTTAATTCAGTTTGTTAAAGGCTAAACGTGAGCAAATTCTGTTAATATCCTCCATTATCTATATTTTTACAGCTTATCATTTCATGGCAGTAAAATGAGCAGTAAAATGTAAAAAAAACAATAACTGAGGTCAGTTTAAAAGCTGGCGCACGTGTCTAGCTGGGGATCTAGCTGATCACAGTGCTGTACTTTGGCCTCTGTATATTTGGATCAATTGAGCTGTGACATCACAGCCTGCTTTCCACTGCTCCCGTCTGCATGCCATCCTTTTCAGAGCCCCAACGCTGCCGACCTCGTCCGTACACTCTTCTTATCCTGTGGGAAGTTTCCACTTGGACCTGGTCTGCAAGCCCAGACCTAAGAACACCTTTTAATATTTTACCAAGGCCATGATAATGACTAACCTGCTTTACCTGCTGTTCTGCATGCACTCCACTTTATGGCCTCATTTGTGAATATTCACAGAAGATTAGGACGAACTCACGCCACTGCGGGTTTATTAAGCCAAGATTACAATCGCCAGCTCTGGGGCGTTGCATTATGCTGTCGGGTATCTCGGTCATTTCCGTAGCCAAACCTCACCTATCGCCTTCCCTGCCTGCCGTGCAGTATCTGTCTGTTGCAAAGGCAGGTGCAGCAGGTTTACTGAAGGCTGGTGCCAGGCTGTAATAATCACTCCCGTCCCATTGCTGAAGCTTAGGTGTGGCCATCTGTGGTTTCACTGTTGCCTTAGAGATGTTCCTAGTTTTTTTTTTCCTTCTTCTTTTACAATACCCATGTCTCTATATCTCTTTCCTATCCTTGTTCCTGCCCCAACCCTCTGTCTCTCCTTGTGTTTCTCCCCTTCCCCCACTGTGCTGACAAGCAGCCCGGAGCTATGGCCGAAGAAGAGGTAACGTGTGGCATTTTCTCTGGGGGTTCTGCTTGCCATGTCGGCCGTGTTCTTTCTCCGAGGCTGAGGGGGGTCTTAGTGTGGTGTCACTATCTGCTTTTCATCTGTGCTGTGATGGAATGAAATCATATTAATTTCGACCCAGTGTTTTCCATGTTGTGCATTTAATTAGGAAGGGGTGCAGGGGTCCATCAAATCTCTCTGTATGACTCTTATTTTGCTTGATGGTGAGAGGAAAAAAAAAATCTATCCGACAATTTTCTTTTCTCTCTCTATTCTGAGTCAGATTTCCATCTTTAATATTTACGATATGATCTGTAGTGAAATTATTGGTGTTGTATGCAAATGCATTCAAATCTTAAAAGAAAAGTATCAGCAGTTTTTGCTTTGGTATCATTCAAATCAAACAATCTTCCAGCATGTTTGGCTGAAGTGCTTCCAAAATCGATTTTAAGGGTTTCCTTACAGAGTACGCTGACTCAGAAGTAACCCAATCATCGTGATGGCAAAGATGGGTGCTTTCAGCAGGGTTCATTTCTGATTTGATGTGCATTTTAACCAATTCAGTCTTTCTTCTAGAGTAAAAAGGAAAGCTACTGTGTGACATTTGTAAGGTCACTGCAGCACAGGGCTTGGGGATTATAGGTTATAGCATTAGCATGGTGAAGCCAGTGACATGCAGTGAATCATGCCTGAATAAAATTGCTTTGTAATTGTTCCCTAAGTACAGACATGGACGCAAATAAAGGTCTGATAATGCGCTGCGAACTGTTCTCCTGAATGCCACAATTTAAAACCATACACTAAAGTAATGCACCAGTTCCAGCTCCACCTATTCTCATTATCAGCCGTGCAGTGTGGTGTCTGAACGCTAGCAAACCTGATTGTAATAATGATTAGCATAACATTGTGACAACATGATTTGGAAACTGTTTCCAAAAGTATGTGGACACACAGACATTATAACCATATGGTGATGTTGAAGACCATTAGCATGGTTGTCCATATATGTCTGCCTAAATTCTCCAAAAAGCTACAATTAGCCTTTTAGGTAACACTACAGCAGAATCTGAGACTTTTGCAGAATTTCTGATAGTTCAGATATAAATCTGCATGATTATATAACGTCTTTATCACATAAGAGTCAGAGTGGACGTAATAAGAGGTGGAAGAAAACTGCCCGGCAGACAGAGCTTATAGTCAGAATTATGGTGGTAATCTCCAATATTAAAATTGCTGCTGCTACTACAAACCACATCTCTCACATCCTCCCTCTGTTTTTTCGTATTTAACACTCTCTCTTACGTTTCCATCTTCCTGTGTTTTCCCCCGTCCGTCTTCTTGGTGTCCTTCTTCTCTTCCTCTTCTCCCAGGTCGTTCCTGTCTTTTTCCCTATGAAGATGGCTTTCTTGACGACGGCCATGGTGATCCCTCCTTAACTCCAGGCCTGAACTCGCCAACCCGTGGTCAGAACGGAGAGAGGATGGAGCGCTACTCCAGGAAGGTCTTTGTTGGAGGCCTCCCTCCTGACATAGACGAAGGTAGAGGAAGAATTATTTTTCATTTATACATTTGGAGAAACACAATCCCTTAATGTCAGGTTCTTTTTTTTTTTTTTTTTTTTTTTTCTTTGTGTGTCAGCACCACTCTGTGATATATTAAAACTTCCAAGTTTCACAAACTGCAGACTGTGTTTTTGGCTGTTTGCCACTGAAAGTTAAACTGACATACAGTATGCGAGTCGTACTTGAGGGCAATTTGACACTCCTTGTTGAGGATTATAATTTACACACCACCAGTTTGAACTTCTACTATTAAAACTTTTACAATTTCTACAATTTGACACTGTCACACTTAACCATTCCCTAATCATAGCACATACCGAGAAATGCTCTTATTGTTTTGGTTTTTTATAAAAACATAAAAAGTGCTCAGAAAATATTAAGCGAACGCCAGCAGTTTGTAAAACTAGTTTAGCAAAGAGACTAGAAAGACAATGAATTCAGCAAGGCTAACATTTGTCATTTGTTTTTAGTCTTTGTGCTAAGCTAAGCTAACTAGCTTCCAGTCATATCATATTTATTGTACACACACTCTTTCCATCAAACTCCCTGTGAGAAAATGAATGAATGCATTTCCCGCAATGTATTATTTTATGGACCCGTAGAAAGTACCTGCTAAGTCTATAAATTTTAGCCCCTGTTCAGTAAAACTGCAGAATTAAATTTGCCGTATATTTAGACCCAATAAATCACTTTTTTTTTTTTTTTTTTTTAGAAAAAAGGAAAAAAAAAAGAAAAGGAATCTTACCAATTTATCAAAGTCGAAGTGAAAATATTGTTTCATGATCAAATGCTAAACATTAGTGAAGCTAGTTTAGCCTCTAGCATTTAACAGGTTTAGCATGATTCTCACCACTTGGCAGCCATCTTGGTTAAAGGCTTTGGGCTTTTACCAAGAAAAACAGCAGGTGCACTTACCTTTATGTTTACCATAATAAAACCTAGATACCCTTGTCACCATCAGCCTCGGTTGTGCACATGCATCACTGCAACAAAACGACTAGTTATGTTTTGCAGTTCGGCTACAGACTGGCTCTATAGGGGGGGAGGTGGGGGACACTGCAATCCTTATCATATTTGAGCTAATCTACTTTTGATTTTGATTTCATTTTTTTAGTCTCTTAGTCCCAAGTTTCTCTTTTAATGATGGTGATTTCTATGTTTTAACATCTATGACCTAACAACAACCTGTCATTAATTTGGGATATTTACTTATATGTATCCATTTTGTGTCTTTTTTTTTTTCTTTTGTCTGTGTCCATATAGTGAACAAGCATATGTGCTACTGAGTTGTTGCACAATACTTTGCCCTAACCAGAATGAAAAATGCATGAGTTTCCAGTGCACACTGGATGTGCTCGGCTTCTGTTCCCGTTTAATGCAGTAGCGACTACTGCAGCAGGAATAGCGCAAAAAATAGAAAGCAGCTCTGCATACACTCCTTTACATACATTTTACATGAACAACCATGAGAGAATCTTTCAATTTCATGTTTCCTTCTTGTCTTTTCTTTATTTTCGCAGATGAAATCACCAACAGTTTCCGTCGCTATGGGCACCTGGTGGTAGACTGGCCCCACAAAGCTGAGAGCAAATCCTACTTCCCCCCTAAAGGTAATAGTAGGTTCTCATACCATAATCTCTATTTTCCCATCAGACATCAAAGTGTAGACCAATAAATATCACCTCAGGTGCATCGCCATTTTGGAGTTTTGCAAATATTCGTATTACACAGAATCCACAGATCATGCTGGGCAACCTCAGAGGTGTTTGTTTATGTTAGCAACCACCTTTAGGCATCGCACAGAGAGACACATACAGCGTGTAATGACTCTATAACTGGCCACCAAGAGTTTTAACCCCAGAAGTGTTTGCTCGAGTGAGCACCTGAGGAGTGTGAAAGTTTTTCGCCTTTCTGCACAGGCTCTCGGGTGTCATTTTCTGGCAGCTGATCAGAGTCGCGCCTCCCTCCTCAAAGCCTCTGCATCACTCCCTCTGGCCTGGGAGCTACAGTGTGTCATATTAGGGAAGCTATTAAAGACGCTCTGGAAATAACTGACATTCCATAGGCAGATGGTAATACACTGCATCTGGAGGACCTGCAAAAATCTCTGCCAATTTATCCCCCACTCCCATTTTTCAACATCCCCCTCTCTTTTTTAGCTTGGGAGGATTATTTTGAATAGGCTTGGGTCTACTAATATCCAAAACCACGGGGGGAAAAAATGCAGCATCCTTTTAGGGGAATGAATGAGCTTAGGATGCCGCCATGTAAGGGGAGGAGACATGTAGGACTGGGGATCTGTGTAGAATTCATCAGTAAGTAGAGGGAATTCATCTCTTGCTCTAATTTTAAACCACACTCCCAAAACTCAGAGAGAAACCGCTAAAATATTCTGTTTATATCACACTCTCTGTATTAACTGGCAGAGGGAGCTTGGACACATGCCTGGTGACAGAGATTTTAGCACTAATAGCTCCGGGCGTGAGAGTAAGAACACACACTTGTGTATATGTGTGTGTGTGCATCTTGCTGTGCGACGAATGATTTACAAATGTGGGATTGGCGTCAAGAGGTCATCTGCCTTTTTCCCCGTGTTAAACGTCCTTCCAAGCTTGACCGAATGGAAGATGGCTGTCACTTTCCGCCTTGATTCACATTTAACTGCCGGGAGTATGTGACTACAGTTATGAAAGCGTTTTGGTTCAGGGATGACTCATATTGTGGCCGAGACTGAATTTAGGGGCTGGGGTAACACTCTCTTGGTGCAAGGAGAGGGTTGGAGTAAGGACAAACATGAACTAGCTGTGCTCTTTGTTCCTATGCTGTAACGGGTCTATTATTGGCCTCTCTGTTTTTGATTTTAGATTTTAATTTAATTTTTAGTTTCTTTGGTCACCAGAGATAAAAAAAAACAAACGAACTGCATGTATAGAATCAAATCTGATCCAAAATGCTTAAAGAGTTTGAAATTACTTTGACTGCCATGTTATTCTCATGGCACTTTTATGGAGAAGGAATATTGTTGTAGTTACAGTGGATTCAAAGACTCACCATATTTTTTTGGACGATAAGGCGCACCGGATTATAAGGTGCATTAAGGGAAACAAAACTTGCTTCCTCCACTTCCGTACCATTGATTCATTAACGTTGAATTCTCTTGCAGCTGCTCTATTGCCATGTTGTTGGAGTATATTAATGACTAACCTCGTATTGTGGATGGATTATCTCAGTTGTTCTCGTAACTGAAGCTTGGTCCGTTTACAGCATCCTGCCATGCGATTGCATTTGTCCCTAACCATCGGGAACCCTCACGTTAACTTTTATCGCGTCGAAAAACGTTAGCATTCATCCTCTAGCTTCACTGTTTATGTTATGTCGCTAGCGATCACGTAGCACATCACTCTATACCAGCTAGCCCAACTTCAGTAATCCTACAAACGTCACTGCTGTTTAATTTTCTGTCTTTATTTATTTTAGGAGTGATAGCAGAGCCGTATGTTTTAATTTTTTCAGAAATCTCTCAGTCAGAACATGCTATATCATGTTTAGGTGGAAACTAGCGAGCTAACTTCCTGCTAACTTCTAACTCCGTTAAATTTAATAAATTCTGTTTTCATGGATGCCTGGATGTTAAACGTAATTATTACACGTGGTAAAGCAGCAACGCTGATCATAAAGGATTTTAAGTGCGCCTTACAGTGCAGAAAATACGGTATGTTAAAGAGGCCTTTTTAGTTTGTTCAATTATCACCTTATTCTGGAGATCATTTATACACTGATCTCTAGGATGCTATCCTCAGTACCAGAGGACACATCTACCTACTGGTTACTATAGTGCAGTATCTGGCTCTTTAAAGACAGACATACCTTCCTTAACAGTTACACTTGCATTTATCAGGTGGCCAGACACAAGACCCCAAACCATCGCAAATGGTGCACTGAGTTAGCTGCATGCCTGATGTTCCACATAACAGTTTTAAATAGATAAAAGGTAGATGTTTGTGTTTCTGATGCCCTTAAGCGTGCAAGCTCTTACAGCTTTATACGATACTGGTATTTTGCTTTTATGAACTAAATGGAACATCCCTGGTTGATGTTTGTGGGAGGGGGTGTGAACAGTAAGCTCTGGTCAGTGCGGGGCTGCCGCTCACACCCTCTCCTGTCGCCTAAACACTGTCATCACTATTGTTGGCAATGAGCTTCGAATGTTAGGGAGCTATTTCTGTCTGTGACCGGGGATAAAAACAGCAGGAGGAGGAGGAGGAGGAAGGTGGTTGTTGTTTGCATGGCATAGCCTGAGCACTGTAAACATACTGCTCTGCATCCTGTAGTTACCTTGTGCCAGACTTGTTTGAATGTCATCTACATCCCCCTCTTTATCTAAATGCTGAAAGGCTGAAATAATGGCAGCAGAGAAGTGCTGCAGAGGTACGCCAATACTCAGGGCTTGATTTATCTTCTCGCACTCGTGTGGGGATTATATCCAGTGAGTGACTTCCTCAAATTGAGATGATTAGTGACGCTTCACTTCGCCGCTCCTCTGCTCTACCGCCGACTACTCTGCAATTGCTTCAGAGCCTCAGGGGCCTGTATTTGTTTTTAGGAGAGCAGATGTTTGTGTCCCCCTTCATCCATCCAGCCAAGCCCTCCTCCTCCTCCTCTCCCTACTTATTCTTCTCCTCCTCCCCCTGCTGTCAGCGGCCTGTCTCGTTACATTTTGTGTCAGAGTCGCAGCCTTTCCTCTCTCACAGCACATATAGCATACATGGAGGTTTAGTATCTTCTATCCTTTGCATCTCATCCAGGTCTTTGAAGTATGTGCACAAGAGCACTGTTTGTGAGAGTATTAATGATAAGCTCTGGATTTAAGTGTCCCCATTAAAGCCAGAGAGGTGCACACTGTGACCACGCTCGCTCAGCTTATCTAGCCATCGCGGATTGGATTTCAGCAAAGTCAACATAACTTTGAATTGATGAGATAATGGGCAGAATAGGATTGCACTGTATGACTTTGATGTAGCAGTGGAAAGATGTTGGCGCACTGCTTAAAGTCCAAGCTCACGCTATCAAATTCAAAGATACGAAAGCAGATCGAGTAGAAACTAGTTCAGAGAGCAGTCATTATGGAGCCGTTCTTTAAAAATAAGAGAGATGTCGGCATTCGTTTTCTATCGACGGCTGAAAACAATGACTGTTGTGACTTTACTAAAGGTTTCAACTACTTCTCAGCACTTTAGTGTATTCATATTAGCTGTGCAGACATGAAATTGTTATCAGTCTTCCCACCTAATCTCCCAAAAAGGTCAAACTAGCAGCTCACGTCTTTTGTTTTACTCCACAAAATGTCATCCTGTTGCCACTGACGTGACACTTTCTCTCCACATGAGTCAATCAGCTGGCCTCCTTTGCTGGAAAGACTCGGTCCTGCGTGAAGTCATCGGTTTGTCCAAGAGGGGGCCTTTTGTTTGTCTGTTAACTGCGCTCTATAGGAGGAAAGAAATGCTGTTGGTGTACATATTCTCACCCCCCACCCACCCCCAGCCCGCTCGCTAGACAGTGCTCGGAGCTCAGCAGCAAAGCCCTATAAATCTCAGGCACGAGCCAATGCAGATCTGTGCTCTCCTCCCGCGGCATAAGCCTCTGCACTGCGCAAGGATGATGGAAAAAGAGAGAAATCCTCAGCACCATTCAGATGTCTGAGCGTTGGAGGGGGACAGAGTGGCCAGAGGAATCTGCGCAGGCCACTTTAACAAGCAGCCTTGGCTGAAGTATTATTTTGATCGTGACATGTAGAATTATGAGGCTCTTATTCTGGTGAAGCTGTCCAACCACGGAAGTCTAGTTTAGGACTGTATAAAGTTTTTTTTTTTGTTTGTATTAACGGGATGTTTGCTGAGAGATTTTCCCCTCCGACAGGTGTAATGGTGTGACAGGAGTTCACGTATTGGTTGCAGTGCAAAGTGGGGTGTAGCAAATAGCAAATGACTGCATCACTTTTAGGTCTTTTGCATCAACTCTACAACTTCTTAACCGGGCACATTAAAGCAGGAGCTTCCCATTCGCCTCAGCCGCCTCTGCTATTTTAAAACTCCGTTTGTAAGGCAGCCATTCATGCACCCTCTCTCCCTTCTCTTCCTACCTTTTCTCACTTTTAAAAAAAACCCCTCTCTCTTGCTCCTCTCCCCCTCCTCCTTCTCCCTCTCCGCCTCTCTCTTCTGTCCTGGGTCATGGAACACGTTGTTCCCTCCTTCAGACTGTATGAGCTGCTGGCTAGCTCTGCCTTTTCATGCCCCCCCCCCTCTTGTGCACAACTGCAGTTGCCTTTTTTTCTCTCTCTTCCGAGGGGGAATGTCAGCACTAAACCACATGATTTCTCCCAATGACAAACCCTCTTTATGTAAGCCTGCAACCCAGAGACAGGGGGTCTTATGTCGGGTGATGATGAGGCACGTGCAGGAAGATGGTGATGCACAAAAATCCTCTTTATGTCATGTCTGATTGTGCATTTCCTGTGTGTGGTGCGGACGGGGGTTAGCTCTGTAAGGACCAGTTACAAAAAAGACAGAGATTAGTTGGTCGCTTCAAGCAGCTGATTTTAATTAGTTTTGCATTGTGGATATTATTGTTTTGCTCACAGTGGTACAGTTTGTTGTTGGGGAACACATCATAGCCCCGCTGAGCTTATTAGCCTGCAAAACCAACAGCTAAAACCCTTTAATTAGTGAGGTCCCCTGGGGTTATTTGCATAAAGCTTAGATGCATACAGAGACTTAATGTTGTGTACTGCTGCTGTGCTGGCAAAATCTGATATTTATCTAATTGACATACTGTTAATACATATCTCATTTTTAAGAATTTGTCAGAAGACAAAATGAAAAAACAAATCATCTGGGGTGTCTTGGAAAACTCTCCCCCCCACCTACCATCATTTAGTGATGAATTTCAAAGTGAAATTAACCTGGAATTGAACAAATAAATCTTAATGGATTCATCTGATTTACTTTGTAAATCCCTAAATAAGATGCAATACCAACAAGATAACTTCAGAGGTCACGTGGATTAGTAGTATAAACCGGAGCCAAATGACTCTTTTATTAAAAGAACATGGAAAGAATATCTCACCCATATCTCAGAGATTTAACGTGGATACGAAACGTAATACTGATATAGTGGCAAAGTTCCACAGTGGAGATGGGAGTATCGGTCCATAGATCAGCATTAAACTGTCCATTTCATGGAGTGGATCTATATGGAAAAGTTGCCAGTATGTAAAAAACATTTGGAGTTGGAAAGGGTAAGTGGCAGATTTTCCAAAAAAGTTTGCTGATCAGACAAAACTAAGAGCTGATTTCGACTCGTGTGGGGAGGTGCACATCAAATAGCTGTAGATCATAGCGTAGGGTTTCAGGTGGGTCTGACGTTACGTTGTAGCCACTGATTCATAAATCCCCAATAAAGCATAACTTTTCAGTTTCAGTCTGCCAGAAAGGCCAAGAGTGTCTGTTATGAGCAGGACAATGGCCTTAAACACAACTCTAATCCCACATTGGAGTGGTTTAAAGGTAAAGCTCAAACTTTAGTGCAATTGAGAATCTGTGGCATTACTTGAAGATGCTGCTTTACACCAGTACGACTCATCTGACTTGAAAGAGCCGGAGCAGTTTCACCTTGGAGAACCGGCGAAAATCCCAGTTGCCAGATGTTTTAAACTGAAAGAGACGTGCCCGGAGAACCTTGCAAGTGTAACTGCTTCAAAAGGTAGCTCTACAAAGTACGAGGTGAATTCTTAAACACACTCAGGTTTTCACCACGAAAGTGGTAGACATGCTGTATTGCAGATCCTGAGTGTGGCGTTCAGGGAAGGGCTACTTTTCTTCCCATCTACTGACCAGTTTAAGTTCCAACACAGTTTTGTGTTTGGTGGCTTCTGCAAAAATGCTGCTTTTGGGTTCTTTTCAGTATTTTCTGCGCAGTCGCAGTTTTCTCGCTCTTCAGAGTCATCAGATCACAATCCTGAAGCTTCATACACTGCGTGGAAATCTGCTGCAGTGTTTTCTGCTGCTGTAGATGCCGATGTCAGGAAGATGCAGTAGTCATCACTGCTAGAGGGAGAGCTGTGCCACATCACTGCGATGGCGAGACGCGTCACATGCATCAGGGCACATGCCTCACGTTCAGTCGCAGTCGGACAAAAACCCTTTCTCCTAAGGACAAACCCGCATCTGCTTACGCACCTGCTTTTTTTTTCAGCTTACCTTTGAGACTGGCGGCAGTTTTCTTTCTTGCATTGCTTTTATCCCCCCTTCCCTAATACATGCACGCAGATGCATCTACACACCACGGGGTCTGCTGAGTCAGACCTTTTTTTTTTCTCCTCCAGTTTCTGCTTATCTAAACTGTAGCAACTCTACTGAGAAATGTTAAAACATCAAAGTCGCATTGCCACTCATGCATTTGTCCATGTCAGTGTGTGTCACTGGGTTTTGCATGTGTATACGTGTTAGGGTGATACGATGTCAAAGATAATTGGGTTCTCACTGGAACAAATGGCCTTTAAAGATACGCAATAGGTGAAGTGACTGGAGTTGGAGTGTCCTCCGGTAGAAACCCACTCAAACTCCTCAGACGGCAGCTCGTAATCCTCTGACTCATGGGTGCCACAGGTGTTGCCGGGTCCTTTCTGGCATAAATAGAGCAATAAATGAATAGGTTAGTGTTATTCAGAGGTGACTGTGTGCCTTTTTTTGACTGATGTGCTGCACTGGATATTTACCTTTATCAGTTTCAGACATGCATCCTGTATTCATTATCCATCTGTCAAAAAAGTTTTCTTTTTTTGTCTTTTCTCAATATATGGCGCTCATGATGCTCAGCCTATAAATCAGATCTTTGTTGCTCGTTATCCCCGTAGCACCGCGTGATGGATGTACCCTATTGAATTGGGTGCCTGAAGTGGCTTAATAGCTCTGACCTTGGATGAGGTCTCTGCTCTCCGTGCTAAATAATTCAGTAGTACAGAGTGACTGTCTGAATTGCTCATTCTTTCTTTCTGCCTCTCAAAGACATCACCAAACTCTCTCTACCTGACTCTGGAAGATCTGCAGTGCGTTAGGCTGATCAATTTTGCATGGTTCCTTTAGGAGTGAAGCACTCCGTGCCATTTAATCTGAGGCTGTGCAGGCGGCAAGGTGCCTGGAACATCTGAATGTCTCGTATATGAATGCAAGGCTGATGAGTATGGAAGAACAGGCTGCAAGGTCATCTGTGCACTTGGAGCCCTGCTTGTCTGAATCTATGAATAGTTCAAAGGAAAACAGTGTGGGGCTTAGTCATGGGATTGTGACACTGTATTTAAAAAATAAAGTCTGATATCCATGAATTCTTGCCTTGAAGACAGACTTAAAAGTGTCATGGTCACAAGGTTGTGACTATTAAACACAGGAAATGTAGTTTCTGTGGAAACTCTTTCTTTCTCCCTTCCTGTAAAATCCCTGTTTTTGTTTTTCCTTTTTAGGCTATGCCTTCCTGCTTTTCCAGGAAGAATCTTCTGTTCAGGCCCTGATTGATGCCTGCATTGAGGAAGATGGAAAACTCTACCTGTGTGTATCCAGTCCCACAATCAAAGACAAACCAGTAAGTTTAAGACAAAGTTCTTGAAATGGTGCAACATACTTTGACATGGCTACCACATTTCCCTCCATATTTTCTTGAATTAATGAGAGTTCACTTATTTAAATTGCCCAGACAGTATGCCCACGGTTCTTAAAAAAAAAAAGTTGATTCTGTTTTATTCATATAGTGCCAAATCACAAGAACAAGTGTGTAACGGTGCTTTATATTGTAAGGTAAAGACTCTAAAATATACAAAAAGCCTGAACAATCAAATGATGCCTTAGACCCTGTTAGAAAGCTCTTGGTGACAGTGGGAAGGAAAAAAATCCCTTTACAGAATAAAAGACACACTGTCTTTTATTCAAATGCAGAGAGTGAAAAGAATAAATAACTAAGGGAATGTTCAGGGTCACCTGATGCAGCCCTCTTTTTTTTTTTTTTAATATTTATAAAATTTCAGCACAACCTTAAAAGTAGAGAGGGTGTTTGTCTCCTGAATCCAAATTTGGTGCTGGGTCCAGTTGATCACCAAAAAAAATTCAAGTGCCATGCTAGTGGCCTGTGAGGTTAACAGTAGTGCTTTGAGTCAACTGCTAAAATTAGCATGCTGTCTGGCTCTCAGTGCCAATTCCAGCATGTTTATGTGTTTAAGTTTAGCTGGTTAACCTTCTTATTTTAGCACAGACTCTAAGGCTTCTAACATTAAGTTGTGTACATTCTATATGGAAACCATATAAGTTGTGTAACATTAAGCTGTGTACAGTGGGGCAAAAAAGTATTTAGTCAGCCACCGATTGTGCAAGTCCCCCCACCTAAAATGATGACAGAGGTCAGTAATTTGCACCAGAGGTACACTTCAACTGTGAGAGACAGAATGTGAAAAAAAAATCCATGAAT